GAGACAATCACCAACCTCCGCTCAACGATCCTCGCTGCTCCAAGCCGTCTAGGTGGCGGCAACCACTAAGAGAAACAAGTGAAACCAGCAGCGAAACACGAACACCAAGTGCCACTAGATACAATCACTCAAGCAAACACATCACACCCTTGACACCCTTGATAAGCATGTAACAAGATCAAATATTAATTGAGGATACATTAGGTAGCTCGTTCTTGTTAATCTTGCAATATTGCTCTACATGCCCAACTTGCTTGCATCTATTGCAAAACCTACCATTACCCTTCACAAAGCTAACTTTGAGAGTGACAAAGGCCGCCTTGCCTTTCTTGGGGGTATAGCATAATCTCTCTTTGTTGAGAGAAAACCTTTGGCTACCCAAGCACTTTAGCAAGCGGGCATCTCCACCATAGACATTGCCTAAGGCACGAGTGATCTCATTCACCTCCTTCTTTAGAGTCTTATTTTCCACCATCAGTGAGGCATCACAAGAGAGACCATCACTCAAGGGTGAAGTAGAAGTGGTAGTGCTATAAGAAGGGTTAGTGGGAGCGACTACAATGGACTTATGAAAATATTCATCAATAATATCACATGTTAGTCCCACATCACATGATACAATCACTTGCTCTTTCTTGGCTTCCTCCATTTTGACTTGCTCGATGAGAGAGGAGTGAGTCTTTTTAAGCTTAGAGTGAGCTTTGCTAAGCTTCTCATGGGCTTCCATTAGCTTCTCATGAATGGCATTGAGCTCATCAAGGGATTGCTCAAAAAATTTGACTTTCTTGCTCAATTCCTTGCACTCCTTTCTCTTCATCTCAAAGCAAGTGTGCAATTGCTCACACATGTCCATGAGCTCCTCCTTGGTGTACTCCTCCTCCTCATCATCACTCCTACATGCATCACTTTCACATTCATCATCACTCACATCACATTTTACCTTAGTAGGATTTGCCATGAGGCATGTCGATGGAGTGTCAAAGATTGATGGCTTGTTGTTGATGGCGATGCTTGCTAGTGCTTTCTTGATAGATTTCTTGCCATCATCACTAGAATCATCACTATCCGAAGAGCTATCACTATCCCAAGTGACCACATAGCCTCCACATTTCTTCTTCTTTTGGAAGGTCATTCTCTTCTCCTTCTTCACCTTCTTTTCTTTCTTATCCTTTTTTAACTTCTTCTCATCCTCATCATTGTCACTATTGTAGGGACAATTCTCTACAACATGATCGGGGCTCTTGCAATTATAGTATTTTCTCACATATTCTTTGCTTTTGATGTGATCTCTTCTCTTTTTTGCACCATAGCCCTTCTTCTTTATGAATTTTCCCATCTTACGGACAAAGAGGGCCATAGCTTCATCATCAATATCACTAAGATCATCATCATCACTTGATTCTTTCTTAGACTTGCCCTTGTTCTTGGATGATGATGAGCTAGCCTTGAATGCTATACTTTTCTTCTTCTTGTCTTCTTCTTCCTTCTTATCATATCCCCCTCCCTTTCCACACGGTATGTCTCTTGGATCATGACATCACCTAGTACTTGGTTGGGGGTAATCTCCTTCAATCCACCTCTTATGATAAGCAATCTCAACATCTCAAATCTTGGAGGTAGGCACATTAAGAACCGATGAGATACATCATCATCCTTGATCTTCTCTCCCAATGCCTTCAAATCATTGACAATTACTTGCAATCGATGGAACATCTCTGGAATGCTCTCATCATCCTTCATCTTGAAGCTTGTCAACTTATCCTTGAGAATGTACAACTTAGCACTCTTCACCGCCGGTGTGCCCTCATATGTTTCCTCCAATCTCTTTCACACCTCATTTGCTCTTTCATAATCCTTGATTTGCTCAAACACCTTGGAATCAATGGCATTGTATATGGTGTTGAGAGCCATTGTATTGCATTGCTTGTTGATCTTATCTTGGTTGGTGGGATTATCGGGATCAATGATAGCATAGTCATTCTCGGTCACTTCCCATACTTGATCATTGATTGAACCAAGATACATCCTCATCTTTTTCTTCCAATAATCATAGCATGTGCCATCAAAGAACGGTGGTTTTCCCCCACATGGTTGAACACAACTTGAGCCATAATTTGACATCGAGATTGTTAAGCCTTTAATCAAACGGTGACCACGGCTCCGATACCACTTGAAAGGTCCTAATATGGCTAGAGGGGGGCTGAATAGCATATTTAAAAATCTATAAATCAACTAGAGCAATTTGATTAGTATGACAAATAGCGAAATGCAAACTTGCTCTAGCTCTACAAGGGTTGCAAGCCACATATCCAACAATTCTAGTTACAAAGATTACTAGGCACAAAACTTGCAATGTTACTACTCACTAAGAGCTCTCAATCTTGCTACTCTAAAGAGCTCCACTAGATGAACTTAAAATAACAAAGCAAGCTCTCAATTCTAATTACACTAAAGAGCTTGCCACAACTAATTTGCAAGAATATAAATGAGTGAGTAGGGTGATTATACCGTCGTGTAGAGGAATGAACCAATCACAATATGAATACTAAATCAATCACCGGGATAATACCAAAGGGCAAGAGACAACCAATTTTTCTCCCGAGGTTCACATGCTTGCCTGCACGCTAGTCTCCGTTGTGTCGACCAACACTTGATGGTTCAGCGGCTAAGAGGTGTTGCACAAACCTCGTCCACACACTAGGATACCGCAAGAACCTACCCACAAGTGAGGTAACTCAATGACACGAACAATTCACTAGAGTTACCTTTCGGTGCTCCGCCAGAGAAGGCACAAGACCCCTCACAATCACCACGATCGGAGCATGAGACAATCACCAACCTCCGCTCAACGATCCTCGCTGCTCCAAGCCGTCTAGGTTGCGGCAACCACCAAGAGAAACAAGTGAAACCCGCAGCGAAACACGAACACCAAGTGCCACTAGATGCAATCACTCAAGCAATGCACTTGGATTCTCTCCCAATCTCACAATGATGATGGGTCAATGATGGAGATGAGTGGGAGGGCTTTGGTTAGGCTCACAAGGTTGGTATGTCAATGCAAATGACCAAGAGAGTGAGCTTGAGCCGGCCATGGGGCTTAAATAGAAGCCCCCTCGAAATAGAGCCGTTGGCTCAATTATTGGGCTGACTGCACATTGACCGGACACTCCGGTCAGATGCACCGGACGCTGCATCGGACGCTCCGACCGTGAATACCGGACGTGTCCGGTCGCTCCCAAACCGCCACGTGTCCAGTCCAAACCCAAGTAGCTGTTGTACCACACTGCCTAACGACCGGACTCTCAAACCGGACACTGAAATACAAATGACCGGACGCAGAGCCGCATTGTTCGATCGAGTCCAGAGACTATGCGAGGACGACCGGACGCGTCTGATTGAAAATGACCGAACGCTGAGCCTCAGCGTCTGGTCGAGTCCAGTAAGCACCCAGGTCCGACCGGACGCGTCCGGTCACTCCGGACCAGACGCAGACAGCGTCTGATCAACTGTTTTCACCGAGCAACCACTTTGCTGATTCATACGCGACATGTCCGGTATGGCGACGTCCGGTCGCTGAGTTCGTTGTCCAATACCGGACGTGTCCGGTCACCATACCAGATGCGTTCGGTCACTCTGTAACCAGTGCGACTAACTCCTTTTCGCCTCTAACTTCTTCACCCTTGCTCAAATGTGCTAACCACCAAGTGTATCACCTTGTGCACATATGTTAGCATATTTTCTCAAATATTTTCAAGGGTGTTAGCACTCCACTAGATCCAAAATGCAAATGCAATGAGTTAGAGTATCTAGTGGCACTTTGATAACCGCATTTCGATATAAGTTTCACCCCTCTTAATAGTACGGCTATCGATCCTAAATGTGATCACACTCGCTAAGTGTCTCGATTACTAAAATAAAATGGCTCCTACAATTTATACCTTTGCCTTGAGCCTTTTGTTTTTCTCTTTCTTCTTTTTCAAGTTTAAGCATTTGATCATCACCATGCCATCACCGTCGCCATGATCTTTATCATTGCTTCATCACTTGGAGTAGTGCTAGCTATCTCATAATCACTTTGATGAACTATGTTAGCACATAGGGTTTTATCAATTAACCAAAACTAAACTAGAGATTTCAGCATGTCGATAAAAAGTCTTTTGATTACATTATGAGATACTTAGTTGTGATACTATATGAACTAGCACATAGAAACAACCTTTTGGATCACGGAGTATTGAGGGTGTTCGGCTGTAAAAAAGCCACAGGAAAAAGCCACGACGGTTACTGCTACAGATGCGGCTTTCTCTCCCTCATAGATTACTGTAGCACCAATGGCTATTGCTAAGGCTGTTTGATTCTTTTTTTCTCCCAAAATACTCATATATGGATTACATAATACGGATAACTCTTTAGTTGGAGTTGCTCTTAGAGAAATACAAGCTCAAATTATCGCTAGCTCTTTCCAAAGTCTACATCGTCAACTTAGAACGTACTGTATTCAAACATATTTCATATACAAACAAATGAGTTTCCAACACCAAAAAATAAAAAAAACCCATATGTAAAACTATATTATTGCTCTTAAAAGACTAAATTTAGCAATACGCTAAAAAAAATCATCAACAGGAAAAAAAACCATGAAAAAGAAACCCGAAGTCAGATGTTCTTCCGGTAGAAATCCCATGATATGATAATTAATAATAAAATAAATCAGCAAGGGGGAGAGAAAATAATAACAAGCCTAATATATATCCCGTTGAAAAAGAGAGACAAAGAGTTGCCGAGTTTGTTTATTAACCTTTTCCCTCGCGGCGGTCGCGACCTCGCCCCCGTTGCTTTTCCCTCTCTCGTTCTTCTCCCCCGTTCCGCGCCCACAATCTTCCCCCGCGCCGCGTCCCGCGTCCCGCTCCCGCTTCCATCTCCTCCTCCCTTCGCCTAGCCCGCCAACGCGCAAATCAAAACCCTACTCCGCGCTCTCTCTCTCTCTCCCGCCCGCCTCCATGGACGGCGGCTCCTCCAGCCTCCCCCTCCCCCAACCACCGCCGCCGCAGGTCTACCTCCGCCGCACCGTGCCGCCGCCCGGCCCGCCGGTCCAGGCTGCTCCTAGGGTCCAACTGTTCCGCGCCCCTGCACCCATCCCCATCTTCTCCTCCAAGCCCCGCGCCGCCGTGAGGTCCCCGATTCCTCCCCCTCCTCATGCTCCTGCTGTTGCTTCAGCTCCCGCTCCCGCGGCGGCTACAGTGCAGGCCCCACCTCCGCCGCCGCCTGCGTCGCCCGCCTCCACCGACCAGCCGCCCCAGCAGAAAGCTGGCACGATGGCTCCGCCTCCGGCTCCAGAACCGGCGGGGAAGAGGGGGCCCAAGCCTAAGGCACAGGTGAGTCAATCAACCTCCCACTGCGTTTTTCCTCCCCCCTCGTACATACTTTCGATGCAGCTAGCTGTTGTTCGAGTTTCGATGTAGCTAAGCTAGCTGCTGTTCGAGTTGATTACTATAGCTCATGGTCTTTCGGTCTTTTGGTATGCTGCGATGTTCGTGGACGATTATAGTGCTCGATCACTGGCTTGGATCATCCGATGCTCCTCGATGCTATGAATTGATAGATGCCACCAGTGAAATTGGGGAGCTAGCGTGCACGGCAAATTCTCTGCTGCTTTAGCTTTGCTCCGTAAAGAATAGAGGTTGCATAATCGAGGGCAATGGCTTAAGTTAACCTATCAAATTCGTTGGCTGTGTAGTCGTCTGTTCCAATGGTTTACTGTGTAATGGTGATGCAATAAGTCAAATCCTTCAGAGTCATCTGGTGGTAGCAGCATTGTGTCATAGTGTATTGGACGTCCTGAGTTGGCATATGTGTCTAGGGACTATGATCTGGGTTTGGGTGTCCACTGAAGCTTCAGTTTTCCTCAATGATGGTTACAGGCAGCATTTTCAGCATGCGAAAACTGAATCAGTCGGGTTCATTGGTGGCATCAGCAGGGCTATTTGTGAAGTTGGCTGTTTCAGGAATAGCATCCATGATGCGATTTATCAATTGATAGTTGTCTGTTCATGATGAATGTGATTGGTTTGAATAAGACTTTCAGATTATGCTCTGTGGTGCTTCCCATGTTGGAACTGATCTGCAGACTGCACGCATTTTTTTTTCACTTCTATAAAAAGCATTATGAAACATGTTCTGCAGGAGTAAATGCATAAACAATTGTTGTCAGTTGTCTGTTAAAGTTTAGATCATTATCTGCATATGTCTAGGGCTTTGGGTTTGAGACCTCATGCTATTTGGCATTATGAAACTGTCCTGTTACTCATAGTGCAGGACTTAGCCACGAATAATATGCAATGTGTATGCATTTTCTTTTATCTTCCTAACCTAATATGATTGCCACTCCTTGGAATGAGAGTCTCATACTTCGAAAAATTGGTTTGCTCACTTTTCTTTCTTTTTTAATCTTCTTTAATTTAATATATAGTTTTCTAGTTCCAGACTCATGTATGTATTAGTTGATCTTCAGCAATAATCTTATACTTTAAGGTGGCTGCGTGATTTGTTACATTCTTGTTCTATTAGTGTGCTATGGCTGTATTATGTTTATTGACAGTCTTCATGTACATATTCCCAATATTGTAGTCGAATGAGCAAAACAGTGGAGAATATTCTCAATCTGAAAACAACATGGTAGAGACTGCGCAAGGGCATGATAAGGAGACTACCCCTGGACCTGTAAAAGCTATCAAGAGGATAAAAAAGCAAAAAGCTTCTAAACACAACTTGGGCAACACAAATTCTGGAGCAATTGAAGGTATGCTGTTGCTAATTTTCTTATTTAAGTTACATGTTCTGCATCCATTTGATGGTAAAAGTTCCATGTTGTCATTTCTTCAGATTAGTTCGGTTAATGGCCATTTATTGGCTTTTACTTGTATAGCTGATGGGTTCACATTTTTTATTCAGGAGATGCTGATCCTTCTTTATCTTCATTAAACCACTGCCGCTATGACAACTCACTAAGTCAGTTTCTACACTCCCCTTCTCCCTCTACAAAATTTAAGATGCTATCTTTGCTTGTTTATTTATCATTAGCTTGTTACCAGGTCTGCTGACGAAGAAGTTCATCAACCTGCTTCAAGGAGCTGAAGATGGGACCCTTGATTTGAATAAAGCAGCTGAGACGTTGGAGGTCTGCTTGGTCATAAAAACATACCCCCCTCCTCTTTTTCCTATATTGCATTCCTAATCTGGGGGGTCAAGCTCCTTGATGTATTGTATTTCTCTATTCTGCAGGTGCAAAAGAGGAGGATGTATGATATAACAAATGTTCTAGAAGGTGTTCATTTAATTGAAAAGGGACTTAAGAATATGATTCGCTGGAAGTGAGTGCCATCTGTTTCTGTTTTCCAGCATATTTTACAGTTATTTATAGCTTCTACTGATGAAATAATATATATTGAAAGGGGATTTGACATGTCGAAGCCTAAGGAAATAGAATGCCAAATTTCTTCATTGAAGGTACATTATGCTACTTGATTATATGATCCCTACTTTTCATTTCTAGGCCTTTTGGTCTTTGTATGTTGACCGTTTCCTTCTACCTGTAATAGTGATGTGCAAGTCTGTTGCGTATTTGAGAAATAAATATGTTAGTTACTTGATTATTTTTAATCTTAACACTAGTTTGTAACTATTTGAGCAAAATTGTGACCCTCATCTTTTGTCTCTGTTTTGTTCACAAATCTAAAATTTGGAAAACAGACATCAGACCATGAACAACCTCCCCTTTTTTAGTGCTGTTAAGCTAGCAGAACAATTTTTTAGTAACCTTTCTTGATTCTTAGTCCAGTTAAGATACAGAATACTAAGTTCAGACATTTATGTCGTGGCTTAACTAACATTGTGCGTTTTTTACCATATCATGTAAGATAGATAGGTCAATAGTTATAGAATTTTTGAAATTGAAGTCACTCATCAGTACAATACTGCTTCAGTACAATTTTATCTGACATGCTTTGGAACCCGCCATGCTGGCCACTTTCTGTTTTTCATTTGGTCATGTATATAGGACAGATCAAATGATAAATGTGGCCTCATCTCAATGTCCTGAGTAGCATGCAGCGCAAGTGAATAAGGAAAGTGTTTCAGTAATGGATAGTGTGTAGGAATGTTTTAGTTGATGCAACCTTGCTTATGCCTGTAAAGAAAGAAGCCATCAGCCCATCACATCTGTAAATATAATTTCCTTTTTTGAGGGAATTCTCTTGTGCAGCATTTTGGTATTTCCATTGCCATGGAATGTTAACATACCCATCTTCTGAATGTTTACACGTGTTATGGGACAAAAGATGAGGGTCACAAATTTTCCTTAGATTTTGGGTTCGACTCCCTGTGGGAGCGAATTTTCAGGCTGGGGTTAAAAAATTCCCCTTGTCTGTCCATGCCAAAGCATTTAAAGGATTTAAAGGGTGGCGGTGTATCAAACAAATCAAGCAATGAAGAAGAATTAATCCCAAATCCCCCAATACTCTAGTCTCCCTCCAAGCCGACTTTGCCCGGCTATCTTCCTAGCAATGGTTATCCTCTAATTCTAATGAATAAGGTTCATAAAAACACGACACTACATTTGAACAACCGCATTTTTGCCTGCAGTTTTCTATAGACTTCTATCTAATCATATGGTTATAACAACTTGGTGCATTTTGATTATCTGCAGGAAGAACTTGAATCTCTTTATGATGAAGAGTTCAGGTTGGATGACGAAATAAGGTAAGTTCTTTCCTGAAAGTAACAAGAAAATGAGATGCCTCCTGCTCCCTTCATTTTTCCCTCCTCCCTACCTTTTGATTAGCAATTGCTGGTGTGCAGCGTAGCAAAAGAGAAACTACAAGCCCTCACCCTAGATGAGGATAAAAGAAAGTAAAATTCTAATCTCTTGTATCTGCAATAATTTTATGGATGTACAGTCAGCTGAGTCCTTCGATCTGTCTGATTAGGTTGTTATATCTTTTGAAGGAAGATATAAATAAGATTCCTCGCTTTCAGGTTAGAACTTGTCAGAACAAATTTTTCTTTCTTGCAAACTATGAAATTATGTCAACAAGATTCCCATTTACTGCAGGGATCCACTGTTATCGCTATAAATGCTCCTCATGGAACTTGTGTTGAAGTTCCAGACCCTAATGCGGTACACAATCCTGATATAACATTAACTACATAGTAGTAGACTTGTAAGTGAAAGGTCTTTGTGGTTCTAACACTTATTATTTTGTTACCAGGATCAGTACATGTATGGGAATCTGGGTTTGCAAGAGAAGCACTACAAAATTGTCCTGAGAAGTTCAATGGGTCCTATTGATTGCTATTTGATAAAGTAAGCTACGATAAATGTTTTAATTGTAGAATTCTGTCCTGTGTTCTCTGTCTTGAAAATGCTAATTTGTAGCCAATTTTTATGTTTCCCCACCAGTGACCGTCAGGAGATATTTAACCCAGACCAGCTGGTGGCAGCAGACAGATTAGAACCTGCGGTTGCTACTGATAGTTCTCAAGCTTTGCAGCAGATGGATTGTGATCTAAATCAGGCACCGGAAAAGGAATGGATCAATGGTGGCTGCATGCATACAACTGAACCATCCAGAAAGCAAGACAATGGCATTCTGAGAATCGTTCCATCAGATTCCGATGTAAGGAACCCTACTCCACATCAGACATTATGGCAGTCTTATTAACATGATGCTTACAGTTCTTGCTTTTGCAGGCTGATGCTGATTACTGGCTCGCTTCTGGCATTGATGCTAGTATGACAGATGCGTGGGGCACATAGTGGATGGATCCTCAGACTTAGGGCTCTAACATGCCCCTTAGACAAAATAGAATGAGTCTGCACTGCACAATTGCATTGGGGCTGGATCTTTAATCTCCATGCTCTGGCCCCGTTAACCAACAAAGCAAAAAAGATATATGGTAGGCAGTAGATCTTGTACATTGGCAACATAATTGTAGTTGTTACTCTTTCATCGACAGTTCAGATAGAATCAGCAAGTGCGGTAGGTCTCAGCTTAAACTTACCATTGGCCTTCGATTTTCTTTGAACGGACTGTGTGTAGCAAATTAGAGGGCAGCACAGTCTGAAAGAAGGCCATCAGTGTATGTTATGTTATCTGGTCTTCGTTTATTTGAAGAGCAGTAATATTGTACATCCTGACTATCACCAGTCAATTATCAATAGCAGATCTATAGAGGTTATACAATTGTTTAACATTAGTCTTGTTTCTGAATGCATTGGATGTACAGTCTCGTTTGGTGCCTTTCAAAATTTGTCATTGAAGCTGTTTTTATTTCTTGCGGTTTCTTTTATAGATCCAAAAGCTTCTGTTCTCTTTGGTACATTTTGTCTTCACATTGATGCGATTGGCCCTGGTTAATCTCAAATTGTGCTATGTGCAAGCGTATAACTGTGATTCTGTCTGAAGCTATCTTGTATCTATGTCTCTTTTCTATGGCTTGTTCCTGTATATTAAACATCATACAATTTATCTCAAATTTACAAGGTCCTTTTCGATCACATATAGCACCATATTTTCCCTTTTTGTCTCCCTATTTTTACGCATGATCATAATACGGTATTTTATAATCTTCAAAACGGCAAGGTTGCAATTGAATACATGGCTGACGATTGTTATATATACTTGTTAACATGAGCAAAAATTTCCATCTAATGAGGAGAAAATATCGCTATTGAAATCGTCAGCATATGGAAAGTTGTACAAATAATATAGCAATTGTGCACTGTTTTCAATGTAGGCCCGCTTGTGTTTGTCAGTATGAAACATGACTCCTGAAATAATCTAGTTGCTGAGGAGTTTTTTTTTTTTTCAGTTCTGAGAAGAACAGAGGTGGTATTTCGTGAATCCAACAAACCTGCCTCTTGACTGGGCCAGCCTTTGGCCCATCCAATGACAGGCAGGCTTGTTGTCCAAAAAAAAAGACAGGCAGGCTATCAGGTCAGGCCAAAAAAAGAAACAAACATAATCTGTTACCTTCCGGAGATATTGCAGCAATCGATATATTTAATCCTTGAACATTAAATCTGGACAAATTGTCTCCCGTAACTCATGAAATAATTTAAACTAACTCCCAGCCGCTGTTAGAAGTGTTTTTAAGATGGTTTCATCCTTTTATCTCAATAGTAAATATATCCGATATGTTTTTTTTTTTAAAATCTCAAGCTTATAAGATTTTAAAAAAAATCCTAGAGATAGATAGGGGCATAAAAAACCTGGATAAACTGTATAGAGCTCATGAGAATATGTTTAGAAGATTCCAGGATTTAGCTATAAGAAAATGAAAAAAACCCCATAAAATACAGGAAATTCCTAAAACATTATAATTAATGTCTAAACATGTTTCTAAATACTTCCCACAAAAAATATGAAATACAACCAACATGTAACATATGTTAGCTTTGAGTGTATTCATGCTGCATGTGTCTCGTGTTTTAGTTTTGTTGTGGAAAGTTTTCAAAATGCGATTAGAATGTTTTACGAATTCTTCAGATATATATTTTTCATGTGTCTAGTGTTCTACGAATTCTTCAGATACACAGGCAGGGTGCGTGCCATTGGCACCTGGCTCCAACACTGCGCCGTGGCTTCCCTCGCCCTCCATTCGCACGCGGGCCAATTGCGGCGCTGCAGAGCCTCGGCACACGATGCCGCCATGGCTAGAGCTTGCGCCAACACCGCCTCCTACAGGCTACATCAGCAGCCCCGTCCTAAAACCACTCGCTGGTCTGGTCCGCCATGGTAAGTCGCTCCCTGCTATCTTCCTTCCCCAACAGATGCAGGTTGCTGCTGCTCCCTTCTCTCTTGTACAAGGCCGCAGTTCGAGAGTACAGGTGCAGCTACAGCTCCAATTCTGACAATGCGATTGGTGCCCCTGCTAATCCCAGCTCTTCTCTTGACTCCCACTAGGTATATTCTCCTTTCCCTCTTTCTTCAATGTATTTCAAGATCAGCCAGATCTAAGATTTAAGAATAGCGTTTTTTCCATTGCCATCGAACTAACCAAAATTTATGCAAAATAGGTTACTTATGATACAAACCAATGAATCCCATTGTTCTAAAATTTGATCTATTAACTTTCAAGTCCAAATTGTATAGTTGACACTGGAGATGTAAATCCTTTCTATCTAAGCTCTGACAGGCAAAGGCATCTTTTGGAGCTATCTATCCATATGCCATTTTTTTTTATCACATATGGATTATGAAGTTGTGACAGGCAAACATCTTTTGAAGCCACTTATCCATATGCCATTTTTACTACTTCTGGATTATGAAGCTCATTCAGCTCAGCTGGATATCTATGGCCTCGTCAGTTACTTGACATGGCATTACACAATTATCTCTGAAACCTGTCAGAACATTGAAGCATCTCACGCACAGTCCAGATGAGAAAATCAAACCTATTAACCATAATTCAAGGTTGGTCTCTCAAGGGCCTATAGTCAGTACTCTTGTTTTGGCTACATTATAAAATTGTTAGCTTCAAAATTTTCGAATTCGTAAAATTGGCCACATGTTGAATTCAAAACTCATTATTAAGATATGCTCTTCAATACATTTATATGGATACCCTTTTTGGGCTACAGAAATAAGTATCAAAATAGGAGAAGAATTATTCCTTTTTTTTTTTGCTAAAAATAGTGATACTATAATTGTTGTCATTTCTGCCATCCTATGTGTGCCGACACACACAGGGCATACGAAGTGAAAGATTGAAAAACACTGCTTGCTTAGCCGTAGGCCCATTTCAAACACTTATTATCTGTAATTATGTCAAACCACATCCAACTATAGGCCCTTGCATACATTTCTGGACTTAATTGTACTCTATTGCAAATGTGATGTTGTCTCATCCTTTCGCATTGCTAAGCAGATAATGTCACCTCATGGTTTCGTTGCCTGTGATATTCTTAACATTCTTGCTAAGATTAAAAATGACAATGAGGTTCTTCCATATTCTCCAGTGCTATTAACGTCTGCGATCAATTTTATCCTTTGATAATGGTCACCATACAAAGGCCATATCTGCTGGTATATCTGGGGAGTATTCTAGGTGATCATGGTGCACACTAAATTCTACACTGGCTCAAATCTGGTGCACGCGTGGCAACACAACGCCCCTGTTTCTAGTCTACATATATGAATCCAACACCTCTTCTAGAGCTTTTCCTGGACAGTGATCGAGCCACGTCATCTTTTTTTTCCTTGGCCGTTGGATTGTCTACATGGTTCCCGATCATTTCTCCTCTCCCTTGGGGCGACGTTCACGAAACATCTGATGGGCCTTGACTCCCTAAACAGATAGGCAGCAGCTCGGATGCCGCTGCTGCACCTGTCATATCTCTGTCCTCAGTGCTTGCCGCTCACGGCACCAGTCCGCAGCGATCCCAGCCCAGCGATGTGGAAGACAACAGCTGAACAGCGGTGGCTGCCTCGTGTCCCCGTGTGCTCACCGTTGCTAGCGACAGACAAACTCAATGCCGGCATCGCCGCTTCCATGGATAATGAAGCCAATGCGTTCAATGAATTGGACACAGGTATCCTTTTCTTCTGTATTTCTTTCCTCAATTTTTCTAGCTGATTTGTACATACTACATCTCTATTGTTACAGAGTAACAGAAATGTCATCGCCGTCGCCGCGTGCATCTGCACACTGCTCGCTGAGCTCAGGGACAAGGTGTCCGCGGCTCTCGCCACACTCCGGGCTCTTCTCGAGCAGTGAGTGGTGACGACATCTGAAGATTCGCTGCTGTTTCCTCTACTTTGCCATTACTTTGCACCATGATGCTGATCCCCAATAACATAGTGACCTATTCCCTATTTGGTTTCTCGCGGTGCTTGACTGCTTGGTGTGGTGTGGCCTGACCATATTGTACATGTCCACCTGTTTCCTGTTATCCATTGATAGGCTGGGCTAGGTTTCGCTCGGTGCTCTTTTTGATACCCACATCAAAAATGTGTGTCGTTACAATTCTTAATATTAAGCATATGTAAATAAGAAAGAATTGATACTTACAATTAATCGAATACAAATATCTGTACCATAAGCTTAAATTGCTTGTTATTTTGGTACGATTTTTTTTTGAAAGAATTTAGGACCCAAACAAGAAACCAATCTCACTAAACCCCCTGAGCTGTTTGCTTCTGGTTCATCCATCATTTTTGTAGTTGTCTTGGTTAGCCAGCTTCTTTTGCAACATAATTGTTCTCCATTTCTTCTATGTTGCGGTAGCTCACCATCCTAACCTCTGTGAACTTGCTAACAGCCTCTCCAGCTGACTGCATGATCAAAGGATTTCGTGTTCCTGAGATGACAAAGAACCCTCCAAATTAAGTAACTGCCATGTATGGACTGATTAGATACACGCCGTGCTTCACGTAATTACATTTGTAGTAAATTTTATTATCTACTGTCATTAGTTCTAAAGTTTTCGTCAAATTATTATCAGCTATGACTCTCTATTCTGATTTATGCTTATCCAAAGAACTCCCTGATAATATTGGACTTTCTATTTCAGCCAATGAGCATGTATGTTCTATGATATATTTTTGCTCCTATTGTGTATGTTTATCTGAATGTTCGATTTTGCAGGCAAAAATAGACTATCAGGCCATCTACATAATCAAGTACCAGCCAGATTTTGCTCTAGACCAATCAATCATTGCTGATCTGAATAATCATATATTTGTGGAGCCCCAGGCCCTGTACTTTAGTTAGACATAATCATTACTGTCTTCCGACATAGTACTTCAATTACTC